GTGGGAACAGGAGATAAAGAGGTGGGGGTTGAGGGGTCTGAAGGGTCTGAAGAACATGGGGCAGTGAGAGGGGGACATTTCAAGACATCCAAGTGACAGAAAATGCAGACCTTTCAGAAAAAGATGAAGGGAAAAAGCTAATGAATGGCAGGATCTTGAGGGGCTAAGGAAAGCTGTGGCACTGAACAGCAGCGACTGTCCTTGGGGATGGAAGAGGGGAGGGGAAGAATCATCTGGCAAGCATGGATTACAAATTGAGAAAGTATAAATACCCATATGTTTTGCTACATTCTTTCCTAGAGAAGAGTTATCACTGAGCTCTTCCCTATGGTTCCTCCCAATCTAGAGGGGCCCTGAGTGGAGGCCACTTGAGTAACGGCATCTATGTCCATATAAACACACTTGCTTCAAATCCCTTTTCTGCCACCTGCTGCAGAAAAGGTGTATATCACCAACTCCCACACTCAGGGCACATATTTGAAATACGCTTATAGTTAATTTACTGTATCTTCCAAACAGATTGTCTCCATATGTTTTCAGTTACTAAAAAGGAGGTTTTTAAAAAATAACCCCAAAGTAGGCGAAAATTTCATAAACAGAACACACAAAAAATATAGCCATTTTTAAGGCAAAAACTGATCACTAGACTTCCAAGTTATCAAAAGATTCCATTAAGACAGGGAAAAGGCAAACCAGACTGGGAGAAAATATTTATAACATAGATATCTGACAAAAGACTCATATGCAGGATATCAAAGAACTTTCACAACAAAAAAAAACAACCAACCAAAAAACAACCCAACTCAAAAAATGGGCAAAAGATTTGAAAAGGCACTTCACAAAAGGATATATCCCAATGTCATTAAGTATATGAAATAGTACTCAACATCATTACTCACCAGGAAATATAAATTAAAACCACAAGGACCACCTCACATCCATCAGGATGGCTACTATCAAGAAACAGAAAATAAAAAGTGCTGGTGAGGATGTGGAGAAACTGAAACCCTTGTACACTGCTGATGGGAATGTAAAATGGCTTGTGCCTTATTCCCAGCTACTCAGAAGACTGAGGCAGAAGAATCACTTGAGGCTAGGCATTTGAGATCAGTCTGGGCAACACAGCAAGAAACAAAAAAAATTTTAATTGGCTAGGCATAGTGTCACATGCTTGTAGTCCCAGCTACTTGGGAGGCTGAGGAAGGAGGATCACTTGAGGCCAGGAGTTTGAGGCTACAGTGAGCTATGATCATACCGCTACACTCCAGCCGGGGCAACAGAGTGGAACCCTATCTTTATTTATTTATTTATTTATTTATTTATTTATTTATTTGAGACGGAGTCTGGCTCTATCACTCAGGCTGGAGTGCAATGGCAGGATCTCAGCTCACTGCAACCTCCGCCTCCCGGGTTCAAGTGATTCTCCTGCCTCAGCCACCCGAGTAGCTGGGATTACAGGCGCCCGCCACCACGCCTGACTAATTGTTCTATTTTTAGTAGAGATGGGGTTGCACCATGTTGGTCAGGTCTCGAACTCCTGACCTCAGGTGATCCGCCCTCCTCAACCTCCCAAAGTGCTGGGATTACAGGTGTGAGCCACGTGCCCAGCCAACCCTATCTTCAAAAACTTTTTAAATAAAAATAAAAATAGAATTACCATATGATCCAGCAATTCCACTTCTGGGTATATGCCCAAAAGAACTGAAAGCAAGGACTTGAAGAGGTTATCTGTACATTCATGGTTCAGAGCAGCATTATTCACAAATAGCCAAAAGGTGAAAACCCAAGTATCCATTGACAGATGAATGGATTAACAAAATGTGGCATATACATACAATAGAATATTATTTATCCTTGAAACTGAAATTCTAATGCATGCTACAACATGGCCAAACCTTGAGGACATTATCTAAGTTTAAATAAGACAGTCACAAAAGGCAAACACTGCATGATCTAGCTTACATGAAGTATACAGTCAAATCCATGGACACAGAAGGTAGAATGGTGGTTGCCAGTGGCTAAGGAAGTGGGAATTGAGTAATTACTGTTTAATGGGTACGGTTTCAGTTTTGCAAAATGAAGAGTCCTGGAGATGAGTGGTGGTAAGGGTTAGACAACAAGTTGAATGTACTTAATGCTACTAACTGTACACTCAAAAATGGTTGGCCGGGTGCAGTGGCTCACACCTGTGATCCCAGCACTTTGGTAGGCTGAGGCAGGTGAATCACCTGAGGTCAGAGTTCAGCACCAGCCTGGTCAACATGGTGAGACCCTAATTATTTGTAAAAATACATAAAATTAGCCAGGCATGGTGGTGCCCGCCTGTAGTTCCAGCTACTCGGGAGGCTAAGGCAGGAGAACTGCTTGAACCCAGGAGGCAGAGGCTGCAGTGAGCCGAGATCGCACCACTGCACTCCAGCACTGTCTAAAAAAAAAAAAAAAAAAAGTTAAGATGGTAAATTCTAAATACACATAATTTCCCACAATTACAATAAAATACGTTTTTAAAAACCAGCCTGACCAACATGGAGAAACCCCATCTCTGCAATACAAAATTAGCCAGGCATGGTGGCGCATGCCTGTAATCCCAGCTACTCGGAAGGCTGAGGCAGGAGAATCACTTGAACCCGGGAGGCGGAGGTTGCAGTGAGCCAAGATCACACCAATGCACTCCAGCCTGGGCAACAAAAGCAAAACTCCACCTCAAAAAAAAGAAAAGAAAAGAAAACCCACAAAGATACCACTGTACACCCAGCAAAGTAGCTAAAATTTAAAAGACAGATAAAACCAAGTGTTCATTAAAATGTAGAGCCACTAACTGGAACACTCATACACTACTGGAGACATTTAAGTTGGTACAGTCCCTTTGGGAAACTGTTTGGCAATATCTACTAAAGCTAAATATATGCCTACCCTACGACCTTACAATTCCACTCCTAAGTTTATGTTCAGAGAAATGATTGGGCACGTGCATCAAAAGACGTAAGCAAGAGTGTTCATGGCTGCTTTATTTGTATTAGCCCCAAATTGAAAACAATCCAAAGAGTTAACAGGAAAATGGAGAAACAATCTGTGGTATATGCATACAATGGAATGATTCTCAGCAAGAGATTAAAACTACTGATATGCACAACCTTGTGGATGAATCTCATAGACTTTATGTTATGTCTATGACATTCTAGTACCTGTCTATCTGTGTGAATGAAAGACACACACAAGAGTTTCCACTATGTGATACTATTTATATGGAACTTACAAGACAAAACTAGTGGATGGAGTTTTTTAAAAATCACAATGTGGTTACCTTCTTGTTGGAGGTAAGATGAACTCTGAGCAGAAGGGACAAGATGAAATCTTCCGGAGTGCTGGAAATCTACATCTTGACTCAGGTGATGGTCACATGGTATACACGCATGCAAAGTTTCACTGAGTAGTACACTTTATTTATGTATTTATTTATTTATTTTTCTTTTTGGAGACAGGGTCTCATTCTATCACCCAGGTGGGAGTGCAGTGGCACAATCTCGGCTCACTGCAACCTCCACCTCCTGGGTTCAAGTGATTCTCGTTGAGCAGTACATTTTAGACCAGTACCTTTTATACACTTTATTATGTACGTTATACATCAAAAGTCAAATATCTCTAAAGCACCTAATGGCTCTACAACAAATATACTGTAATTCCAAAAAAGAAACAAAATATCAACCTTGCTGTTTTCCTTTTTGACTGAGGAGACTCCATTCCTGTTAGATATGTTGAGGGATAATTAGTTACATCCCAATTTCCTGAGTCAGATAATGAATCTAAGTCTCAGGCAGTGCAAACTTACATGTTCCTAAATGTTCGAGAGCTTTCCTGAAGCCTCTCCTTATCCATGGAGTCTTCAAAGTGAGAACCCTTCAGTATTTAGTGTAATCTACACTTTCTGAGTCTGAGCTCCCTGTTTGCTTTCTACTGGTAAGTGTTCAATTTCTTTTTTCTTTTCTTTCTTTTTTTTTTCTCTTAAGAAGGGATCTCACTGTCACACCCAGGCTGGAGTGCAGTGGCATGATCGTGGCTCACCACAGCCTTGACCTCCCAGCTTCAAGGGATGCTCCCACCTCAGCCTCCCGACTGGGTGGGACTAAAGGTACACATAGCTACAGGTGCACATTACCACGCCTGGCTACTTTTTGTAATTTTTTTAGAGACAGGGTGTTGCCATGTTGTCTAGGCTGGTCTTGAACTCCTGAGCTCAAGCAGTCCTCCCATCTCGGTCTCCCAAAGTGCTGGGATTCCAGGCTTGAGCCACGGCACCCAGTTTCAATTATTTTTTAAGCTTCAATAACAGCATCCAAGTTTATTTAACACCTTCATTAGCAGGGGCGAAACAAATCCCTCCTCAGCTGTAAAGGCAGAATGTCGAGGTAACACCACATTCCAGCATTGTGATAATTGTACATCCCATCCCACCCCTTGCATCCCCACAAAAAGAAAGCTTCATTCTCTTGAGCAGCCATTTTGATGCCTGACCCTTAACACAGCCAACACAATAACTTGAGCATCCATGTGAAAGTACCAACAGTGGTGGCAGGTGGTGGCTCACGCCTGTAATCCCAGCACTTTGGGAGACCGAGGCGGGAGGATCACCTGAGGTCAGGAGTTGGAGACCAGCCTCACCGACACGGTGAAACCCCATCTCGACTAAAAATACAAAAATTAGCCAGGTGTAGTGGCGGGTGCCTGTAATCCCAGCCACTCAGGAGGCTGAGGCAGGGGAATCGCTTGAACCCGGGAGGCGAAGGTTGCAGTGAGCCGAGATCGTGCCACTGCACTCCAGCCTGGGCGACAGAGCGAGACTCCTTCTCAGAAAAAAAAAAAAAAAACTACCAATAGCTATGACCTACCATTCCCACGAAAGAAAGTAAAAGCCCACAAAGGTAAACATTTTCTTCCCTTTGGCATCTTCTGCCCTTCATTATAAAGAGTTGCTCAGTTGTTGAAAAAGGACCTTAATATGCAAAACTTTACATTTTAATGAGAATCAAAGGCAAATTCTTTTGAACTGTGTCACAATGAATAACATTACAAACATGTCTCTCCTCAGCACACAACTCGTCCTTATTTTAGTCAAGCAGGCAAATTAGTGGGCCTGTAAAAACAGCAAGGTAGTAGGAGAAAAATCATCAGAAGGTTAATAGCAGAAGGGTTTGGTTTAAAAGAAGCCTCCTAATGCATCTGTGTTCTGATCGGTGTTACGTCAATTCAACAGTGAGACGCAATTTTATTAAAAGCTGATACTTGGCTGGGTGCGGTGGCTCACACCTGTAGTCCTAACACAGTGGGAGGCCAAGGCAGGCAGATCACTTGAGCCCAGGAGTTAAAAACCAGCCTGGACAATATGGCAAAACCCTGTCTCTACAAAAAATACAAAAACAACCCCGGCGTGCTCGTGCACACCTGTAGTCCCAGCTACTCAGGAGGCTGAGGTGGGAGGATCACTTGAGCCCAGGAGATGGAGGTCGTAGTGAGCTGAGATCCTGCCACTGCCCCCCACCTGGGTGACAAGGCCAAACCCTGTCTCATAAAAAAATTTTTTAAGTTGATACTGCTATTGGTTCATGCAGGTGACTCTGTTAACATTATCTCAAATGAAATTATTCAGAACAACTGGCAGTTTTATACAGTTTCAGGAAAAGTGTTTTGAAAAGCAAATATCAAACAACTGGTTAAATGCAAAGCCACATGGTCACAATGGAAAAACAACTCTTTTAGAACAGTAAAAAGTCATGTAATATAATGACATGCAGAATTTTTATTTAAATCCATTGTCAGAAATAGATTAGACCCGGTTTCTCCTCGGAGGTTACCTCAAAATACATTTCACTTCATAGAAGTTTATGTAAGTGTCAAAATATTGAACATAAGAGCAAATGGGTTAGTACTACTGGAATGCAATCATTATAAAGCTGGATAGGTGGATTAATTGTCCTACATACCTGTGGTTTTTCAGATTCCTGTGCTTGCTTACTCATGTACATTTGACTCTTTCAGAAACCACTTCTAGAAGCTCCCGGTTTGGCTTCTACACTGCCACCTGTAGACATAAAAGAGAAATAAATCATGTATTATTCGTCAACAATGCATCTTTTCTAGACATCTAACGGGGACATCTGGGGAAAAAGTGGCAAAATATTTGCTCCAAAAGACAAAAATGTTCTTTCTCCTCTGTGTGGAAAATTCCTAAGGCGTCCTTCTCCCCAGTGGTATGATAAATTATTTGATTAGAAATTGAAACATACGTAAGTCTCAGATCATCAACTATACACCACTCTCGGCCGATCATTAAAGAGATGGAGTCGCAGAACTCAACTTAACAGTAATTTCAAGACCTGTCGTTTAAAATTAGAAGAAAACTTCACCGCTTTGTTCATCTGGTATTTCAGAATTCTGTAAATTGACACAAAGAAAGATCAGGGGCGATTCAGGCTAAGATTACTTTACCACAAGGTTGTAAGATGTCTATTTAAAATAACAGTAATTCTAACCTGAACTACAGTTTTGTCCAATCCAAACAGCAGTTTGGTGGAGTATTTTCATCAAAATGCCCTATCCTTGATTTGAATATGAATGACTGCGGAAGGGTCTCTCTGAAACCCCACGGATTTTAATACAGGTAAGTCCTTTTTCAAAAAAAAAAAAAGTCAGAAAATGAACAAACAGGAATAAAAATTCATGAACAACTATCAGCAAGTCCAAGCAGCCATGAGACGTGCGCGCGCGTGTGTGTGTGAGAGAGAGAGAGACAGAGAGAGAGAGACAGAGGCAGAGACAAGAGAGACAGAGTCAGAGACAGAGAAACAGAGAGAGAGACAGAGAGAGAGACCGACCGACAGACACACACTGAGATTCTGGAGTTAATTGCGAATAACCGCGCCGCGAAGCTTTTTTACCTCCTCCAAGTCCCACAGTCTACCTAGGACAAGTAAACCTCGCTCCAGCACCTTAAGCCAAAGACACAAGCACCACCACCTCCACCCCCATTACCTAGGCGAGACAGCGCCAAAAGCCACCGAGCGTGCACGCCAGCCAGGCCCGCTACCCCGCAAACCCGAGAGCTTCTTTATCCCCGGCACAGATCCGCCCCACTTACCCGTAATTTACTTTAACGCCTCGAAAGCATGATTTGGTTTACGGAATTGCAGCAAATACAAGAAAATCAAGTCTCCTTGAGACACTCTCCTCCTCCTCCCTAGGACGGACATTCACACGGAACACTTTCCTTTCCCTCTCAACCCGGAACACGCGCTGGACTATCCCAAGAGGGTCTTTGGGGACCCGCCAGAGATCGATACTGCTCCCACGTGCCTCCATTAAACCCTCGTCCAAACGTGCACAAGGCGCCAAGGGCATGTGCAGAATCAGCCCTCAGAATAAGTTCAGCAAACCCATTCTCTACCCCCAGAAAGCGCGAGGGAGCACCCTGACGCAAGCGCCGGCCCCGGCAGACAATACTCAAGCAACTCCAGCCTTCCGCGCACACGCCCCGACCGGTCCAGCCACCACTCTCTCCTCCCATGGTCCCTACAGTCTTCGGGCCGGGAGCAGGGGGCGTCCTGATGGTTGCTGGGTGTGGACTGTGAAGAGAAGGGCAACCTGCACACACCACCGATACTGCGGGGCGGGTAGGAGATCGCAGTTCTCCAAAGCCCCACCGGTGCTCAGCTCCTCAGAAGGGGTGGGGTGGGGACAGTGGAACCGAGGTAGTGAATCCTAAGGAAGGCAGCTTTTCTGCACCTCTTCCCCACCTACCACAGCGTGCGCGCATAAGCGCGCACACTACGGGGCCGTGCACCTTCCTTCTGCCCCTGGACCTACCCAGCCCTTGCCCCCAAGCGCAGTGGCCTGGAAGAGCGGGCATCCGGCCCGCGGTGGCCGGGGGAGCGGGCAGAGCGCCGCGCTCTGGGGTGCCCACCTGCGCGCAGGGTCGTCGCTGCTGCCGGTGCGCCCGCCGCTGTTGCAGTCTCCAGCTGCAGGAGGAGGAGGCGCGGCGGCTGAGCCCCTGGACTCCACGCGCCTACTCGCGCCCCGGAGCGGCGGTCCTCATTTCCCTTCGTCCCGGCTGGCGAGCCACCCACCTAGCCCGCAGGTTCTGCCAGTCCCGCGGCCCGCCAGAGCCCAAGCTATCCTCTCCGCCCCTTTCCCGCCGCCCCGCGCTGCGCTGCGCTCCGCCCCCTACCCGCCCATCCCCGCCGGGGCCCAGCCGGGGGCTGCGGGCGCCGCGCTTCGTGCCGCAGATTTAGGGTTCTTGGGTCTGTGGTGGTAGAAAGGAGATGGGGGGCACCAGGGGTGCGGCCCTGGGGTCCGCCCCCAACCCCGCTCTCCCAACTGGTTCCCCACTCCTGGGGCCCGCGGCAGCCGCCCGCGGCTAAGGGTGTGGGCACCGTGCACTCTGCCCCCGCTCTTCCGGCGTCTCCCCGCGTGGCACCTTCCATGGCCTAGAGAGTGCCTCGTGTCTTAGGGGGAGGGGGTTGGTGAAGCAAGGTGGAGTGAGCCTGAGAGTGGAGGCGAAGAAATTACCATGTGAATTGCCAGGGGCTGCAAGTTGCTGCCTGTGCCCCTGTTTCTGTTACATTAACTACCTGGATGTGCTGCTTTCCTTGCTACAACCGCAGTAATATTCAGAAGCTTGAATATGAGATTTCCAAGTTAATTGGTTGTAGGGTGGTTGGGTTTTGTTTTTTTTTAATGTAATGATGGCAGAAGACAACAGATTCACTCTTTTTAAAAAGTTACTTTACATATATGTACAATATAATTTCTAATTTAAAAATTAGCAAAATATAAATAACAGAACAGCTGTGTTTTACAGAAACGAATCTAGTGTGTATGTGTTATTTAAACCCACCGTAATTATATTAATTGGTTAATTTTAAAGTGTATTTTAGGTAGTTCCTAAAACGGACTCAGAATTTAGGGATTAGGAACCCCTGAGTTTTAATTTGGCTTTTTGTCATAGTTCTAAAATGTCAATTTCATGGAAATTACTAAATGGGGTTGTTTAGAAAAAATGGATTCTTTTTCTTCCAGGTTGGCAGCATTTTTAGATCTGGCAAAGGACAGATTTTTTTTTTTTTTTAAGCCAAGAAATAATAAAATTCTCATTCATTTTCTGATGATGGAATATCTGGTCTGGTAGCTTTTTCTTTAAGTGTTTCTCTCTTTGAGGCAAACTTCCTTTCTGTTTCTTCTTACACGTTTTTCTTCCAAAATTTCTCCTAAATATAGGCAAAGTTATGGAAGCCGTGAATTTTGAGCCTTTGTTTTCTTAAAGGAGATGGAAAATTAATTATAATTCATTATCAATATCCATCCCACGCTCATGATACTACATTTCACATTGATTAACCCTGTTTTTCAACTCTGCTTTTAGTGATTTCACCTAACACTTGAGAACCAAGAGTTTTTTAAGTTTCATCCTTATAAGAATGAAATGCACACTCTAATTAACATTTTGAACCAAAATTAAAACTAATGGAAAGTACGTTAGTACAGTGTGTGTTGCTGGGTAAATGAGGACAATGTGGATGATAAACAGTTCTGAAGAAAAGACTCTGAAGCAAAGAAAACAGTCCTTAGAAAAACTGATGATCCCCTTTTCAAGGGAAGGATGACAAATGCCAGTAATTATGCAAAGAATGACTCCTGCCTCTCTTTGCTTTGGTTTTGTGGCTAGGCCTGCATTTATCTCTCTTGATCATCATAATAAAAGTAAAGTAATTCAGCATTCCGGTGACACTGCTTAGTAAATTAGCAATTTGAAAATGCTTTTATTACCTAATTAATCCAAGCAAATGCCTTCGATAAATCCAGTTTTACTCTTAACATTTTTTGTGCCTCCAGAGAAACACTTGTATGAAATAAAAACAGCTAAGGCAAGCTCTAAAACAATTGCTAGCCAGATTCTTTGGGTGTATGTGTGTAGCAATAGAGTTGATATTAAGTGACCTTTGGGTCTTAAATTATATATCAAATACTGGTTCCGAGTTGCTCATTGGCGTCTTCTTGAGTGAGTTCCTGTGTGTTTGCTTTGCCATTTATTCCCCAGAAGCATGCTTCATTTCTTCCTTTCTGCCTTACTGAATCTACCTTAGCCTAAATTATGTTCATTGAACTCTCACCAAAAAATCAGACCCTAATCCATAGCCCACTTGACAATCATCTTTGTCCTTCAAGTTTAGTCTCTTTTGAGGTCTTTGGTAAGAATCCAGCATGATTAAACATCCAAAATTGGAAAGAGTACTTCATTAGGCATGGTTCTAACTAAGAGATAACAACCAGATTTCTCAAAACAAAAGGGTGTGCCACTTGAATAAAAAGAAGAAAGAAACAAAAACAGCAAATCCATTTTGTTCAGGTCAAAACTAAGCCAACAAAATCACAATTGAAATCCTTTCTAAGCCTGAATTGTGCTACGAGATATGTAAAAAGTACAATTTAAATAATTTATCTATTTTTTTCACCACTACGAATCCTTTGCTCCACTGACCAAACACCATTATGCTTCACATTTCCCTTTTAGTTCCCGTGCTATTGAGTTTTTTTCACTGATCTTTAAATAAGAAAGTGCGCTGGACACTCCCATTATCCCCAAGGAATTCTGTGTCACCCTCCATTTAGTTTCAAAAGTTTTCTTGAAATGTCTGTGACATTGATGAGGACAGATCTGAACATCCCATGTAGACCTGTGGAAAGGGAGCTCCATGACTAGTCTACATTCAAGACAGTGGGATTAAAACAAAACATGAGTTTTGTTCTAACAGTTTAATCCAATTGGCATCTCCCATTCTGATCCTCACTCCAGTGAAAGGTTTTATAATGTGTGGTTTTTCCCTCTCAAGGAATTTTCTCTTGATAATTATTTTAATAATTTTTGTTCGTTGACTCTTTGAGTTGTGAGCCTGAACATAATGCACAGTCTTCTCTCTTTTCTTTCCTGTGATAACTGAGAATTGATTTAAGGGGAAAAGGAACACAATGAGACAACTTTTGCCAGTTTCTTCTTCTGGCTCTAAGAAAAGCATGAATTAGCTTACTTTACTTTGGTTGATTGGATTGAGCAGCATCATTGATTCAAATTTGCAGAATGTCAATTACTTTAATTGATCTCCTTGTGTTAGGGAAATACATCACTAGTTATCTCACAAGACAATGAAGATACAGACAGTACTACCATATAATGCTCAGATTGAAGTGTTGATGATCTAAGTCACTTAAAAATATGTGTGTGTATATGTGGGTGTGTATATGTATAATTCAAAGCTAAATATAAACCTGATTGCTTGTAATAGATTCTTCAGTTACAAAACCTTTGATAAGCTCTCTCATGTTTTGGGAGTATGTAATAAACTGAAGAATACCTCACTACCTTACTCACAGGAAAGTACTTTTTTCTGATCCAGATCTCCACATAAATTTCCAACATCAACTATATAACCCTATCATCTCATGGTTAAAAAAAGAAAAAAGAAGATGATGATGAAAGAAAAGAAGAAAGAGAGAATGAAAGAAAAAGCAGGAAAGAAGAGAGAGAGAGAGAAAGAAAGTGGGGGAGGACAGAGGGAGGAAGAAAAAGATAAAAAGGAGCAGAGTAAAGACTGTGGCCAAGCGCCCTAGCTCACGCCCGTACTTCCAGCACTTTGGGAGGCCAAGGTGGGTGGATCACTTGAGCTCAGAAGTTCGAGATCAGCCTGGGCAACATGGCGAAACCCCATACCAACAAAAAAAAAATACAAAAAGCCAGGCGAGGCTGAGGCAGGAGAATCACATCAACCCGGGAGGAGGAGTTTTCAGTGAGCAGAGATTGAGCCACTGCACTCCAGCCTGGGTGACAGAGTGAGATCGTCTCAAAAAACAGAGTAAAGACAGTATGATAGGGTGAATACGTGTATGACTGGTTAGCACAACTGATAAGCACATCGGGTTAATAAGATAATGGTTTTCTCCCCCTATGGACCATTTTGCTTTTTTACTTCATGGCTATCAATCAAAGCCCTATTCCTAGACATGAACAAATGTATTCCTAGTCACCAAATATGGTGGCTGGAATTATGTCCCCCCAAAAAATATGTCGAAGTTCTACACCTGTGACCTGTGAATGTGACCTTATTTAGAAAGAGAGTCACTGCAGATATAATTAGGATGTAAATTAAGATTAGGTCATACTGGAATAGAGTGAGCCCTTAATCCAATATGACTGGTATCCTTACAAGAAAATGACACACACACACGCACACGCACACACACACACAGGGAAATGGTCATGTAAAAATGAAGGCAGAGATTGGAATTATGCTGCTACAAGCAAGGAACAGCTGAGAGTACCAGAAGCTGGAAGAGACAAGAAATGGTCCTCCCCTAGAGGAACTGGAGGGGGCATGGACCTGCCAACACTTCGATTTTGGACTTCTGGCCTCCAGAACTGGAAAACAATAAATATCAGTTGTCTTCAACCATCCAGTTTGTGGGACTTTGTAGCCCTAGAAACCAATACACCAGGAATTCATCACCAACTTTTAGTGATGCCAGCCCATCATTTTCTGTAGCCAGCCCAGAGTAAATGTTCAAGTGTAAAGTGTTTAAGAATGGTAGACAGGGCCGGGCATGGTGGCTCACGCCTGTAATCCCAGCACTTTGGGAGGCCAAGGCAGGTGGATCACTTGAGGTCAGGAGTTCGAGACCAGCCTGGCCAACAGGTAAACCCCATCTCTACTAAAAATACAAAATAGCTGGTGTGGCGGCATGCACCTGTAATCCCAGTACTCCGCAAAGGCTGAGGGGGGAGAATCACTTGAAATCGGAAGGAGGAGGGTTGCAGTGAGCCAAGATCATGCCA